CACACACACACACACACACACACACACACACACACACACACACACACCCATAAAAATAAACAACCTTTTTTTTAAAAGACTAGTAGTTTTGCTTAGTGGTGGAGCGCTTGCCTTATGTGTGTGAGACTCTAGGTTCCACTCCCATCACCACTAAAAAGAAAGAGATGGAAAAAATACTATAAATACCTTTTCCTTCCTAGAGTTAAGAGGGCTGGTACTTTTCAGCTGGATCTTGGGTGAGCTGTTCTTTCTGGCACCTGTTTAGTGTACTGAGTTTCCTCTGCTTAAGGATTCTGGTAGCAGTTAGGAAGCTCTGATTGGGGGTCACAGGGCACTCTGGCCGTCATGGTTGTTCAGGCCTCCTGCTGGACTGTCCTAGTGAGTTCAGAGCTGAGTTTTACTGAGAGTCGCTGGCATTCTCTTGCTGCTTGTCTGTTCTTGCTGCACTGAGTGGTGTGACATGCACATGTGTTGAGTCATGTGTCCATTGCTAAACCTGAAGAAAATGGACTTAGCATGATGACTCCAAACAGTCACACGAGTGAGCACTGTGTGGGGGAGATGGCCAGTATGCTTGTTATGCAGAGACACAAATTACAGGCCACAGCAATCCTTGTGTAGCCGTAAAAGGTTTAGGTGTTTCCTAGTTGTTTTGTTGTTGTTTAGGTTTTTGTTTGTTTGTTGTTTTATGTAGATTTTGAGCTTTTTTTTGTGCCACATCCATTTCTTTAGAACTTAACTCTTTGATGAGAGTAAAAGTAAAAAACTGAAGACATGCTTATTAAAATGTAGAAACAAACAGAAGTATATTGTCTGTAGATATTCCTCTTTTTATGACAAAGGCAGAAATACACAGTAACAGGACCCTTAATTTTTGTCTTGTTCAAGGACAGTCTTACTGGTGTGGGCTGTTAGATAGACCTGACCAGGACGGCCTCTGGACTGTGGATTTGTGGGGGTGATGTTTTACAGGGATGGCAGTGGTACCCACGGCCTTGTACATGCTAAGTTTTCTACTCATGCCCTGCGTTACTCTATCCCTAACTCTGGACTGGAGATTCTGGGGTTTGTGTGTTTGTTTTTGTTTTGATTATTTATTTAGTTTGTTGTTTTGAGATATATTTTTTGTTGTTGTTAGTTTTTGTGACAGGATCTCACTATATAGCCTGCAAGCCTGGAACTCCGTATGCAGACTAGGCTAGTCTCAAACTCACGGAGATCTGCCTAGCCCTTCTTTCCAAGTATGGGATTCAAGGTATGCGTCGCCATGCCCTGCTTATTTATTATTATTTTAATTAGATGTGTATGTGTATATACGTATATATACACACATGTGTCTGTATGGTGGCATGTGCACATGAATGCAGGGGCTTGCGGAGGTCAGAAGAGGGCCAGAGACCACCTGGAAATATACTTAATAGGCAGTTGTGAGCTGTCTGGCATGGGTTCTGGCAGTCAAACTTGGGTCCTCTGGAAGAACAGCATGTCCTTTTAACCTCTGTACCGTCTCTCCAGCCCTCCGTTGATTTGGGGTGGATAAAGTGTCAGTATGTAGCCCAGGTTGACTTTGCCTTCTGAATGCTGAAATTACAGGCGTGTACTATTGTACTGTAATTATCATTGGGGTGGTTTTTTTGTTTTGTTTTGTTTTGTTTTTTGTTTTTCTTTTTTTGAGCAGGGTTTCTCTGTGTAGCCTTGAGTCCAGGACTTGTATTTTAGATCAGGCTGGCCTCAAACTCACAGACATCTACCTGCCTTTGCCACTCCAAGTGCTGGGATCACAGGCTTGTGCCACTGTGCCCAGCTTGATTTTTTTTTTTTTTTTTTTTTTTTGTTATTGTTCTTGCACGAGCGTGCGTGCATGTGTGTTCATCATGCCTGTGTACTCAGAGGACAACTCACAGAAATAGATTATTCTCCTAATTTAGGTTGTCAGCCTTGGCTGCATGCACCTTTACCCATTGAGAAGTCTCACCAGCTCTTTAGCTGTGGTTTAAATAAAGGATCCAGTGCATCACTCAGTCACAGTCCCCTTCCTCTTCTTCCCCTTGTGTTGTGTTTTCCTACTCATTTTCTCTTTCACCATTTGTTTCCAGGGTTGTAGGGTCTGATACTAGACTTTGACTTAAGATTTATTTCCTACCCTTTCTAGAAGAGGATGCCCCTGAGGCCCAGAAAGAAGCAAACTCGCTCAGCTTGGGTTTGTGTGCTTCCATTCAGATGATCCTTTAATGTCAGATATGGAAATGCTCTTTTAAAGGAATGTTTTGGAGTACCAAAATCAAAGTACCTTTTTAAAGTTTTTAGCTTTTTTCTTAGGGTCAATAATAACAAATACATAGATGGGAACATAAGACAGTCCTCCTCAGTGTTACTGAGCTTTGCAGAGTTGGTGAGACTTGTTTTGTCTGCTCTTCCCCAGTCTGCTTCCAACCTGTGGTAGTTGAGATGCATCACAGATATATCATTTTAATTACAGTTAGCACAATGAAGCCCTCTTATAAAAGGTCAGTTATAATATCTTATACCAAATCAAAATCAGTAATATATTGAAGATGGCTCAGGGTTTTAAGATTACTTCTCATTTGACTAGCAAGATGGCTCAAGGCTGGTGACCTAATTTGATCCTGCTACATACATGGTAGAAGGAGAGAATGGACTCCTGCATGTTGTCCTTACTTCTACATGTATCCTGTGATCCATCCCCCCCAACACAAAAAATAAATCACTGTAATTTAAAAATAAGCAAGCATAGGAACCGGAGTTCATTGTGATCCCTAGAGTCGATGACAATGTCAGGTGGGTGCAGTGCCCCGCCTACAATTCCAGCAGAAGAACATAGAAATGAGATTCCCCAGAGCAAGCTGGCTACTAAGATTAGTCATAGTGGTGAGCTCAGGGTTTGATTGAGAGACCCTGCCTCAATTAATAAAATCAAAGAGCAATTGAGGATGATTTCCTGCATCAACCTCAGGCATATACAAAAGGAATAAAACCAGTCATTTCCTTTTAAAAATTTTTACTGTAGACTTATATATGTATGCTTATGTCTGTGGGGGCACATGCACATGAGTTCAAGGAGACCAGAAGAGGACATTGGATAATCCTGGAGCTGGAGTTAGTTAATTGTGCTCTTTACCATTTCTATTATTCTTGCTCTACTTTCATCTAAATCTGTCTCTTTTTCCCATTCATGGATGACACTGACCTAATTGCTTTTGTCCCTTTATCTTATAGCCCAAAATAACAATACTCACACGCCTGTAGACTCTTCCATTTGCTTTCTTTTGGTGCTAGGATTGACTTTAGCGCCTTACATGAACATTACACATACTTTGTCACAGCTGCTGGGAAGCAGGGTACTAGTAAATTTGGTTTTACCTTTCAATTGTATCCCATGAGGGCAGTGTAGGTAAATTAATGTTTTAGCATTATTTGAAATAGTTCCTGAGTAGAACCAGTTTATTTTGTTACTACATTTAGCTTTTCATTTACTTTAGAGAATTTATCTTATTGTTCTTCCCACTTACTTTTAATCCCTCTCTCCCTTTTATATAAATGGTATATAATATATACTTTCTGGGATGGTTTTTAATTCCATTTTTATTTGTAGTTTAGCCAGCACACCTTTGCATATGTCCTCAGATAAGGGCCTGCCTGGAGAGCCAATCCTGCTTGCAGTTTTGAGGCTGTTGCTACATCCCTCCTCCCCCAATAGCTGTGGTCGATTAAGAGTGGAGTCTGTTGTTAGCTTGAGTTTTTCTTGTTGGACCTCATTTCTTGCCATTAAAAGCCATTTCCATTTCTCTTTCTTTGTACCATCCAATCATTTCTCTAGTCACACCTTCTCCCAGAGCTTGAGCCTGTTCCCCAACTATAGTACTTTTTAATTAATTTAATAAAGAGCTGTTGTTATGCTAGACACTGGACCTGGACTGGGAATGTAAACCCAGTACTAATGTGATGCTAATGACTTTCCAGATGGGTGTCTATCCTGTTTTCATCATAATCCAGTGTTTTCAGTTTTTATGAAGTAGAATTGTGACACCTGTAAGTGACAGAGCAGAGAAACTACTGAAATAGACCACTCTGTGGGCAGAAAGAAAGATTTATTGAGGATCAAACTGCCAAGGCTATCTGGTGGGAGAGGGGTTTGCAGAGAAAGAGCAAAATGTTGGAAAAGCCAACAGGTTTTATGTGACAGTGTGGACTGATCCAGAACTGTAGGTGCCCTGACGGAAGTAGGCTGACTTTGTGGAGAGGTTAAGTTAGGGGAGGATTAAAGGCAATTCCATGCTTTTCTAGTGAACAGTAACCTTTAGTCTGCATACCCATATCAACCCTTCTGTTTACCCAGCTACAGTGCTTCTGTTTAGGACAACAGAATCAGCACTACCCTTTGGGGGAGTGGTTGGAGTTGACAGAATCCAACAAAATGATATGAAAGTGAATATTAAGTGTAAAAAATCATGATTTTGCTTAGAATGTTGCTATACACCTGTAATGCCAGCATTCAGCAAGCTGAAGCAAGAAAATTATGAATCTGAGATCTATCTGGACTGCCTAGCAAGACTGTCTCCAAACCAGTCAACCAGCCAGCCAAACAGCCAAGAATTTGGGGAAAGTGAGAGTTGTCAACGAGTTTAGTTATAGTAGGGGACTTCAGGCAGAGCGGATATATTGGGTATGGGTATTGTGTTTTGTCACAGAACTGTCTTAAATCTTCAATATCCAGCATTTGAATATAGGAACTTTCACTAAAGGTGAAAATTTCTTGATGTGGGGTGAGGGAAACAGAGTTCCTGGGGAACACAGGTGTCCCCTGGCTTGGGCAGTACTGTCCTGTCTTTATGTTACCTTATACTTGCCTGTCTAGTATAGACTGGGATGTGCAGTTTTGTTTCATGTTATCTGCTAGACTATTTAAAATTAAATGTGTCTCTTTGCATTTCCAGTGTTTGCTTCTACATTGGTTCTCTTTTTTCACTTAAGTGTTCCTGGTTCTGTGGGGGGGTGTGTGTGGGGGGGGTGTTTTGTTTTGTTTTTTTGAGACATAGCTTCTCTGTGTGTTCTTAGCTAGCTTGGACTTTCTTTGTAGTCCAGGCTGTCCTCGAACTCACAATTACCCACCAGCCTCTACCTCCCCGAGTGCTGCAATTACAGACATGCACCAGGTGCCACCTGGCTTGAACGAGAGCTTTTTAACATCAACATGGTGTAAAGTGTCAAAGCAGCATGCCTGTGTTCATCGTTTGTTAAGATGAGAATGCTGGGTAACTTGACCTTTCCTAGGCCTCTGGTGGTTGCAGTAGCCACGGTACCTGCCGACCTACCTTGTTGTGCCTTAGCAGAGTGCAGGTGCAAAATCTGACTGCTTAGACTCTTGGTTGTTCATCACTTCTGTTCAATTTGGGATGTTTGCATTACATCTAATGAGTTGTTCTTTTTGTTTGTTTGTTTGTTTGTTTGTTTGTTTGTTTGTTTTTCAAGACACGATATCTCTGTGTAGCCCTGGCTGCCCTGGAACTCACTCTATAGACCAGGGTAGCCTCAAACTCACAGAGATATCTACCTGCCCTCCCCAGTGCTGGGACTGAAGGTGTGCGTCACCACCGCCTGTGATGTGTTGTTCTTATGTAATCTATTCAATTCACTCTGTGGAATCATAGCAGGTCACAGACATTTCTTTTATTCTGTCCTGTTTCCTGATAAGTTCTCTTATTCTCGAACTATATGTTTCTACCATTTAAGTTAATTAAACTGTTTTTAATGTTAACATTAGTGTTTTTATCCTAACCATGACACAGTATCCATGGTGGAGTGTTGTAATTTGCTGTGTCTGACTTGTAAGTGTGGATTAGAGATGTGTGTCTTATTCTTACTTAGAGCTGTCACTCCATGATACTTTTTGTCTTTGTTCATTCTATTTGTGTGTCAAATTGTTAAATTATGATAGTACTGGTTGGCTTTGCCACCACTCACTGCTCCTGAAGTGGGGATTGAGCTGTCTGTTGTGATTTGAATGATTCACGATTTTACTCTTAACGTTGGCTGCCCAAGGAGATCGGGTCAGTGCATCAGGTCGAGAAGATTGCCTGCTGCAAAGCTCTTTCCAGTACTTACCTTGATGGTGACTTCTTCATCTCTGTCTTACAGGCCAAACTTCCAGATTTGCAACCATTTCCTTCTCCAGATGGTGATACTGTGACTCAGCATGAGGAGCTTGTCTGGATGCCTGGCGTCAGTGACTGTGACCTCCTCATGTACTTGAGGGCAGCAAGGTAATGAGAATCTGCTCCAGCTGCTTTCTGAATTCGGACAGATGGACTGATGAGTGTCATAAACTTTCTTCCTTTCCGTCCTTATTAGTAATGGGCCTTTTTTCACTCTGAGTATTGCTTTCTGCTCTAGTGGTCTTTCTTACCTGACAAAAGCAGCTTACCATTTGTTCTTGTTATTTCCCTTCCATCAGACATTAGAGCTCCTCAGAGGAAGCATCTTCAGCCGCACATGTAATTACCAACACCTCTCACTGCAGTTGAGGGAGTCACTCACCTCACTTTACAGTTCCATTACTGAGTTCCTGTTCTCTGTGCTGGGGCTCCTCGGTAGTGTCTGACCCAGCTTGACATTTGTGTGGCTTCCCTGCATGCAGATATTTATCTGATTGTATGGTAGAACTTGCAAACATAACAAATGACAGAGCCAACACAGAAACTTCAGCCCCTCCATGCCATAGTGGAGGCAGGACCTACCTTTGTGTAGTAATTTGGGACCCACATGCAGCCTCACCCATGTGCAACAGCAAAACTAAAGTGCATAGTGCGTAAGACTAGCTTGGGGCGGCTAGTTCCATCTTGGCTGTTTGCAGTCCCCAGTGCTTTGCACTGTGGTGCAGTGGGGATGAGATAGTGTAAATGGGGTAGATGATTGTTTCCTGTTCTGTTACTTTTCACTTTTAGCCCACTGAAGGGTGGTTGGTTATATACATGAGAGGAATTAATTTCACCTGTTTTCCAGGGACTTGGAATTGTTTAAGTAATGCATGGTGATAGTGCATCTGAGTATTTCCAAAATATCATAATCTGGTGGAGTGCCATGAGAAGTAGATGTTTCATGTGCTGAGACTTGAATCTGAGTATGGACAAAACAGAAGTAGCATGGACCTACTGAAGTCATACTTCTGTCCCGAGGGAGGATTAGACTCTGGGCCGGGCCGAGGGCTGGCCACAGTGCACATGTATGAGTGGAACCTTGCTGAAAACTAAGGGTTAAACTCACTGTGCGTCCGGATATTGATGTCTGCTGATCAAGGAAACTCCATCCTTTTCCCCAAAGGAGCATGGCAGCATTTGCAGGGATGTGTGATGGAGGCTCTACAGAGGACGGCTGTGTTGCAGCATCTCGGGATGACACCACTCTGAATGCACTGAACACAGTAAGTGTCTGGGTGTCACCTTAGAGGGCAGGACAGGAGCATGGAGCAAGGTGTGGCAAGCAGTATAGGTGTTGGTACTGTGGTGTTGTTAGGATACAGAAATGACTGTGGCCCTGTAGTTTGGAGTGCTTGCTGTACTTACACAGGAGCTGGCTCTGAGAATCCCTCCTGTAACCCCCAGAACTCCCTGCCCCCACCCACGTGACACACCTTTGTATACACTGTTTATACATAAAAATAAATTAAATAAATAGTCATAAGTAAAAATCAACAATGAGTTGTAGGGGTTGTTCTGTTAAGATCACTGATGCTCTTGCAGCGAAGCTGTGTCAGTTCACAGCACTGGCATTGCTTCTCCCATTGCCTGTAACTCCAGTTCCAGGAGGATCCAGTGCTCTCATCTGATCTGACCTCTCTGTGCTCCTGCATGCACATGGAGTATAGTCATACACTTGGGCATGCGTGCATGCTCACATGGGCACTCGCAAACACAAACATACATGTGCATGCACATGTGCACTCATGCACAAAAACAAAAAATAATTATCTTGGCCATATGTCTTTGAGATTGTGGCCGAAGACATTGTAACTCCCAGGTTTGTGTCTTACTTTGTCTGAACCGCAAGATTGTGAGAAGTTTCAAATGAGTTTCTAGTAACAATGTCTTTACTGAAGTCTCATTTATTTGGGTACTAGGCATACACATGATCTTATGTCATCCTCACAATACTCGCAGGAGATTCTGCTATTGTTACCTTAAAAAAATAAAACAAGACAGAAGTAGTGGCACACATGTTTAATCCCAGCATTGGGAGGTGGAGATAGAGGCAGGCTGATCTCCGAGTTTGGTCTGTAAAGCAAATTTCAGGACAGCCAGGGCTACACAGAAAAACCCTGTCCAGGGGTGGGGGGGGGGAGGGAGGGCAGAAAGAAATGAGGTATGTGAGGCTATCTAGATGGAATTGGTTATAGGAAAAGCTAGGGTGTTTGTTTGGTGTCTGTGCAGCATCTGCTATCAGCCCTGCGCCTGCTGGAGCCAGTGCATTGCTGTAGCTGGATTTGTTTTGCTTTAGCAGGCTTTTGGCCTTACAGTGTCTCCTAAGGACAGAGTTAGAAAATTAACATTCGAAGCAATTGCTTTCTGTATGTTTTCTAATGTGAAATCATCAAGTCCAAACAAGTAATGCCAAGTGTTTGGTTGTGAGCTTCTGACGCAGTAGTCATGTGTGTTGATGCATGGTGGTCACATGGTTATATGTGTGTCGCAGGGCACTCTTGAGGCCTAATGGCTCCTTTAACAGTTACCTAATTTAAGCTCACCTTTGTTTTTTGTTTTGTTTTGTCTTGAGAGCTCTGTCATTGGCAGGGACTTTGGCAATCATCTACCCAGTTTCAAAATAAGAATGCAAGGTTCAAAAAGGCCAAGCTAGCTGGGCACAGTGGTGCATGCCTGTAATCCCAGAAATTGGGGAGGCGGAGGCAGGCAGATCTCTGTGAGTTTGGGGCCAGCCTTGTCTACAAAGAGAGTCCATGACAGCCAAAGTTACACAGAGAAACCCTGTCAAGAAACAAGTAAACAAACAAAAACGACCAGGTGACTTGTTGAATGCTGCTAATCCACAAAACTTAAAATATTTAAAAAAAAAAAAAACTTTCATTTTTGATGTAAACATCTTTTACTACACAGTGCCTGGCACTCAGCTTGCTGTTGTGGCAGCACAGCTAAGTTTTAATCTGCTCTTATGAGGGAGTGGAGTAGTATGCAATGTTGAATCCACGTTGTGTATTGGCCCTTGGGTGATCTTATCGGTACATGCTTATCCAGTAAATGAAATTTCATGTCCCCCCCCCCCCCAAAAAAAAAAAAAAAAAAAAAGCTGTTGTGGACCATCAAGGTTGCTTAGCAGGCAAAGGCACTTGAGTGCCATCCCTGATCCACATGGTGGAGGGAGAGAGCCAACTCGGCATGTTGTCCTCTGGGTTCCATATGTGTGCATGGCACGCACAGGCAGGCATACAAACAAACAGCTCATAACCTCTATGTACCTGTGCACTTCCTCTCGTGTAATTCGTTATTTAAATAACTTGTTAGTTTTTATTTTATATGCATTGGTGTTTTGTCTGCATGTGTGTCTGGGTGAGGGTGTCAGATCTTGGAGTTACAGACAGTTGTGAGCTGCCATGGTGGTGCTGGGGAATTGAACCTGGGACCTCTGGAAGAGCAGGCAGTGCTCTCCAGGCCTGCCTCATTAATTTAATACTTAGCTTTTATTGTAATTTACATATAAAGAAAGACTTTACCTTGAACATATGACAGTGTCAAAAAAGGCTTTTAAGAGTCCACAATCAAGAAGCTGAGATTCAGATTAGATGATACTGCAAACAGCTGTGAATGTCTATGAACTCAAAAATGTGTATGTGGTCAAGAAAGCCTTTGATAGGGACATTTTGCTGCTGTGATTTATTTTTTCTTATAAAAGGCTTATGAAAAAAATTCTGCTTTCATGATTGTAGTTATCATTTGAAGTTTGAATAGTGAAGCTAGTACTGTAATTAATATCCCCTCCTGGCATGTTTGAGTTCTGAGTTACTGAGTATCTGTTAGTTTCATTCTTTAGGGTTGACTTTATACCCAATCAAAAATGTATTTTGTACTACACACACACACACACACACACACACGCACGCACGCACGCACGCACGCACGCATACGCACACAACACACTTTTTTTGATGGGTGATGGTTTGCAACAGGGTATCTCAGGTAGAGTTTCCATTGCTTTAAAGAGGCACCATGACCATAGCAACTATTATAAAGGAAAACATTTAATTGAGGTTTAGTCTGTTATTGTCATGGTGGGGAGCATGGCAGCATGCAGGCAGACATAGTCCTGGAGGAGCCAAGAGTTTCAGATCTTGATCTGCAGACAGCAGGAGCCTGTGTTACACGGGGTATAGTTTGAGCATAGGGGACCTCAGAGACCCTCCACAGTGACACACTTCCTCCTACAAGGCCACACATTCTACTGGTGCCTCTACTGGTGCCACTCCTCGTGGGCCAAGCATTCAAGCACATGAGTGTGTGGGGCATAACCACCATTCAAACCACCACGCAAGATTTCTCTGTGCAGCCCTGGCTGTCCTGGAACTTGTTCTGTAGACCAGGCTGACCTCAAACTCAGAGACCCACCTGTCTCTGCCTCCCAAGTGTTGGGATTAAATGCAGTACCACCACCTGGGTTTGTGTCTCCCTTTAATGTGTTTTTTTTGTTTGTTTGTTTATGTTTTTGTTTTGTTTCTTGTTTTTACTTATTTTTATTTTGTGTGCATAGGTGTTTTGCCTGCATATATGTCTGTAAAGGTGCCAGATCCCCTGAAATTGGAGCTATATAAAAAACTGTGAGCTGCCATGTGGGTGCTGGGAATTGAACCTGGGTCCTCTGAAAAAGCAGCCAGTGCTCTTAACAGCTGAGCCATTTCTTAGCCCCCTAATCTTTGTTTCTTATCTGTGCTTTCTTGCATTTTCCTTGAATCTTCCTCATTGATGATTTTAGAAAGCTTTCAGTCTGTGTAGTGTGGAGTTGTTTAATCACACCAAGAATATCCTCTTGCTGAAGTTTTTATCATGAATGGATGTGAGTTTTGTTGATTGGTCTGCTTTGTATCTGATGAGATCACATAGTAGCCATCTTTTTTTTTTTTTTTTTTTTTTTTTTGGCTGAAAGACATGGCTTTCAAATTGTAATCAGCTATTAATTAATGGAATAAACTCTTCTTTCTCAGTCCTGTTGTGTTTCATTTGTTAATATTTTGCCTGTATTGTATTGTATTGTATTGTATTGTATTGTATTGTATTGTATTGTATTGTATTTTGTGGTTTTACAAGATTGGGCTTTTCTGTGTAGCCATGGCTGCCCTATAACTTGCTGTATAGACCAGGCTAGCCTTGATATCAGAAATTGTGCTGCCTCCCAAGTGCTGGGATTAAAGACCTGCCCCATCACTGCCTTAGTCTGTTTGATAATATTTTTGTTTGTTTGTTTGTTAATATTTTTGTTAAAGAACTTTATATATGGGTTCATGAGGGATTCTGACATATAACTTTTTCTGTAATATATGGAGTCTATAAAATTATTTTCTTATTGCTAAACACTTGGAAGAACTAGTAAAGTTGTCAGGATATGACTATCTATGAGTCATTTTAAAATTGTAAGTAGGGCTTATGAGCTGCCTCAGTGGACAAAGGCATTTACCAAGGCAGATGACTTTGGCTTGATTCTTCAGACCTACATGTCGGGTGGCGAGAATGTGCTTCTACTGTTAGTTGAAGGACACTGACATCTAGGCATCTGAGTAGGCATATGTGCACACATCCAATACACAAGCGTGCTTATGCACACAATAGATAGTAAACTTTTAATGTTTTTAATTTTATAGAGGTTGGAGAGGTGACTTAGCACTTGCTGCTCTTCTGGAGCACTGATTTTCTGTTCCCAGTATCCGCATTGGGTCATTCCTATAATTAAGTTCCATGGGGATTTGATGTCCTCTTCTGGCCTCCAAGGGTACTTGCGTACAGGTATGCATGCACACAACACCTTTAAAATAATAATTAAACAATCTAAAAAATAAAATTACAAGTAGACACAGGTCTATTCAAAGTTTGTATTTCTTCAAGTTGGTCAGCTTTGGTAACATGTAAGTGTGTTTTTAAACATTTGTCTATGTCCTCTAGTTTACATTTTAATGTCTGTAGACTTTTTAATTGCTGGCCTTTTGTTTTTCCTAAGACCTTGAATTTATTTTCTCTGAATCTCAAGTAGAGATTTATCAAGATTGATCTTTTGCAGCAGTAGGTTTTGGTTCTATTGTTGCTCTTTCATCACTAAACTTGTTTCTTTCCACCTGGCAGTTAAGTTGGTCTTCAGTATTTCTAGCTTCTACAAGTTGGGTGTTAAATAACTGTTTTTATCACAAATTTTGATTTTTTTTTTTCCTTG